GCAACTCAGTCGCAAAATCGAAGTGCTCGTCAGGCCCCAGTAATAAGCTTGTTACCCAAAGCCCACCAGCGCGTCTCCACAGGCCCATGCAAACTCTTCCGGAAGAGACCCTGGAGAGTGACGAATTTACCCACTACCCACACTCGCTGACAGAGTCACTGGGACGAGGCGATTCCTCCCACCACCACCAGGCTCCCCCAAATCGCTCGCACCCGCCACTAACCCTAGCGACATCCGCGCTCCCAATCGCTCGGCCTCCCGCCGGAGCCCCAGATCCGCGGCCGCTTCCTCCCGCGCCGGTGGCGACCTTCCCGGATCGGAGCCAAGATGACGGAGTCGATGGTGCGGAACAAGCCGGGGATGGCGAGCGTCAAGGACATGCCGGTGCTGCAGGACGGGCCGCCGCCCGGCGGGTTCGCGCCCGTGCGCTACGCGCGCCGCATCCCCAACAAGGGCCCCAGCGCCATCGCCCTCTTCCTCACCACCTTCGGCGCCTTCTCCTGGGGCATGTACCAGGTCGGGCAGGGGAACAAGGTCCGCCGGTAAGTGCCCGCCTGCCTGCCCTGCACGTCGATCTGTTTCTTCCCTGCGTGTGCCAGTCACCATTTCAATCGAAGCGGGCGCCGGTCGCAGATCGGTCTCGCATGGCTGCTTCCCTTGCCTCCGTCGGATACATTCTCGCGTTAGTTCAATTGAATTGCTGCGGTTGGTTTCGTTTGAAATGTATTTAGATAATTGTAGATCATATCTGGACAATGATGCACTGATATATGGTATTAGTACTTGTACTAGTAGCAACTAGCAAGGACCTGCATTATTAGAAGATGGCATGTTTCTAAGAAATAACTTTATGTTCATATGCAAATGGATGCGTCACATTCCGATTGATATGCCACTTCATCCCTTTGCAGCTGCTCTAAGTTGATGCTATTCAACATACTTTAACATCTAATTAGCTAATTTATGGAGAACATGAATTTAGAAGATTTTATTGATGAGGAGCCAGGCCCAGTCTGCCTGTTGATTCCTTTATAAAGAACTATGAACGATGGGTTCTAGACTTGTAGCATAACTCAGATAATGAATTAAAGTGTCAGAAACCTAATGTGAACATTAATTTGAGCTGACAGTTTTCACTAATGTAGTAACATGGTTGTGCCTAATACAAAAGCGGCTGCATTTTTTTAACAGCCGACTTGCATCATTCGCCACCACTCCTCCCTCCTGGCCTCCATGGCATCCACTCGCCTTGACATCATATATCCACCCTTTAGCACCATCTCAATAGCCCTCATTGCGATCTGCGGTGCCCTCACGCATCGTCTCCACCACTGGTCCGATGAAGTCAGTTAAGTCACTGATGCTGGCTCTGCCTTCAGCTTTGCTCCACGGCTACTCCAGCCTGCGTAGCACTCCACCACCGGAACATGGGTCTCAGGGAATCCCACAGTTGATAAATCAGCTTGCCTATGCTGTAGCAATGCCGCTCAATATTTAGATTAAACTGATGTGGTTTTGTGGAAACTATAGCTCATTAATTTTGTAGGTTTGTCTCGTTCATTTTATAAAAAATAAAAATTCCATGCCTCAACCTTGAACTACTACCATAGTACCATGTGAGTCGATTTTCCAGAAAGAGGAGATTGCCCTTGGATATTCATTAATAGAATCAACCGTGCCAGCAGAGGTAGTACAAGAATAATAGTCTGGGAATGTGGTTCAGATGCCATCATCCAGGAGAGACATGCCTAAAGGTCTCATTAGAGCAGCCTTAAACATCAACCAGACTGAGATTACATCGAGATAGGCAAGAATCACAGTACAATTGCGAAGTCATGATCATATCAATAAGTTTATTGCCAGTGCAATGTAGTTGGACCCTCTTCCAGCAATGGAACTCCAAAACCGCCTAAAAGGAAACCTTAAAAATCCTAAACTAATCCTTTTGCCACCTTTGCCTCATTCCAATCGTGGTTTTTACATGACATTGCAGTGGGTCGGATGGGTCTCACATAGTCACATGTAATGCTGTACAGCAGCTTGCAATCCCTTCATCTTCGCTATTGGGCAAGCAGCCTTAGACAAAAACCTCAAATTGTCCTCTCCCTACTGCACATCAACGCTACTCAGTGAACCCTTACGATTCCTCTCCCCGAAGTTTCTTTAGTGAAGACGTGTTGCCGTCATCCACCGCTGCCATACCTTACAGCTGCATGATGGTGAGCGCGTCACAGTGCATATCTGTGCAAACCAAGTTCAACGTAAGCCTCTTCCTACCTATTTGTTGCTCTAGTTCGCGCCTGTTGGGTGAGGCTTTCAACTGCTAGTTTGGAGAGTTTGAGGTGCGTTTTTGACAGTTTTGGGCTTCGAGATTGATTAATGAGCTCATGCTCAGGCAAAAATTCAAGGTCCAGGGTATTGTTTCCTTCATTCAGCATCTCTGGAATTTAAACTGGTTGATTATTCACATGGTTACTAATGGGCTGCTAGGTTCAGTTAAGAAAATAGATTATGTAGTCATTGCAGCAATTTATGACAATCATCCAGTCTATCTAAACAAGTAAACATCAGTTTTTCCTGATGGATAAACTTTTAAGAAACACAAGCGTAACAACCGGATGTGCATTCCTGTTATGTGTCCTTGCTCTGTATTTGCCGTTAAACATGTGAAGTCTATATCCGTGCTTCATTTTATTTTGTTACGAAATTGTGCTGATTTTCTCTATTTTATTTATGCTGAAATCACCTGGGATCCTTATCTTCTGGTCATGCTTCATTGCTCTTCAATTCATGGTAGTTATTGGTTACGTCAGATCCTTTTATTTGTTTCTGTTATTGCTTTGCAATTATTGGTAGTTATTAGTTACTGTTAGATCCATTTTATTTGTTTCTGTTATTGCTCTGCAATTATTGGTAGTTATTAGTTACTGTCACTCCATTTTATATGTTTCTGTTATTGCTTCTGCAATTCTTGGTAGTCATTAGTTACCGTCACGTCCAACTTTATGTTTCTGACTTTCTGTTAGCTTCAGAGTCTTGAATGCTTGTTAGTACGGGTTGTTTTCCCATCCATGTGTTATTTGTATGTTAGCCTTCATGGTGTGGAATTTTGTGTGCGCAGTGCACTGAAGGAGGAGAAAATCGCTGCCCGTAGTGCTATACTGCCGATGCTCCAAGCTGAAGAGGATGAAAGGTACTTGATCGACAATGTATGCCATTTTCATTCATCCCTATCATCTACCGAAGACATGAGGTCTTTGATTCTCGTGCAGATTTGTCAAAGAATGGAAGAAGTATCTTGAGGAGGAAGCGAGGATCATGAAAAATGTTCCTGGATGGAAAGTCGGTGAGAGCGTGTACAATTCTGGGAAATGGATGCCTCCTGCAACCGGTGAGCTGCGTCCAGAGGTTTGGTAAGGTCCAAGGTCTTGCTTCAGCCCATCGAGGATGGCGTCGTGCCTTGAGGGCATGAATAAGGCTTTCAGACCTGGATACCCCGAAATTTGCTACGAGGAATACATACTTGAGCACTCGTCGTGTGTTTCTTCTGTTGACGGAATTTGAATGGCTAATAATTGGACAGAGCAAGCCGGCTTTGGTCTTTATATGAACCATCTTCTTTTGTTGATGTAACGTGTCTTTGTATTGCTACGGCTATTTTGACTCTTGTCTTTCTTTCAGTTGCGACATTGAACATGGATATACTATTCCTTTTTTGTCAGTAGTTGCCATATCAGCCTGATCGGTGTTATAACCGCCAATATGATGGTTTTGGCCGAAAAGGCCACAGCCGTCATGCACAACTCTGCCTTTGCGTGGGAAGGAAGTTTCAGCATGGCCTCTTCCTCCCGCACGCAGCCTGCTCAATGGCGTTGTCGTTCTTCTCCCCATGACAATGGTGCAGCCGCGTATCCACTGGGAAGAGCGTTGATTATTTGTTGCTGTCACGTTTCGCGATTGTTTCCCAACTGCACACGGTAAATCTGCCCATGTTTTTCGTCGGAGTGTGTTTGCAGGTATATAATCCTCATCGCTTCCCTTCCACACTTGCCTTCTATTCACCCATTCCTGTCGCCAGCACACTTGCCTTCATCGGCCTTGTTCATCCGGTGCCACCCCGCACCCTTTCTTCCCCAATTACCATGTCGGTGTGGTCGTGCCGTCTTCGCGGACCTTTTGCAAGCAAGACCGAAGAGTGTCATGCCAAGAGAGGGAGAAAGAGTTTTGGGAGAGGGCGCGAGACTACTCGGAGTGGGTTGACGACGACACACGTCGTAAGGTTGAATCAGCCAGTGGCCACTCCCGCCTACCCGCAGTCGAAGGCTCCCCCCCGCCTGTGAGGTCACTCTGAAGAAGAGGAAGAGCTTGTAGTCCAGTTAGTAGAGAATCTTAGTAGGAGTAGTATTAAGGCTGTTCAAATCGTAATTGTAACCCTTCTTCAAATTCATTTTGTAAAATCATCTTGAAATTCTAGTCGAACTCGATGTCGACATACAATCTCGTGGGAAGAGATCAAGGATTTGTACTGGACCAGACCCCAACGAAACTTGCCGTTGTTCCTTTCAAGCCACCAAACCTGGCTATCTATGATGGCTGGCCACCTCCATTTGGTAACCTCATGGACGGTTTCTAGTGAAGTCTTGCTAAGTCTCAGTCAATACTACAGTATATCCTGAGATCAACCCACACACCCGTTCTAGTGGCCAGGATCTCCAACTGGTCCCGTCAATCCACACAAGCAGAGTGCTCAGCGGAAGTGGATCACGGAGGGGAGCAGCCAGCGACAGACAGAGAAGATCATGTATGGCCCGCTGGCTATCTCCAAGGATCATCAAACGCACCATCAACGCGCCTTTCCATCGCGTGGCTTCTCCCTCCTTCTTCACTGCAAAAGAAAAGGGCCGCGGCTCTGAACACCCACGGATCGAAAGACGGGCTCTACGGTCACCTTGCGGGCACGCTCCCTCCGACTGCCGTCCACTCGTCGTCCCAGTGCGCATCCCCCGCCGGACATCTCGGTGCACGGAATGAGCTGACGCCAGCCCGAGCAGGCGCAGACTCGACGTATCGGCAGGTAGCACCGTAGCGGCACTGTTCAAGGCTCAGCTCCATCGTGATCGGCGCTGTGCGAGAATTGACATGGCCCTGCCCCCTCCCACGACGCCCGATCGGCTACGCCCTACGCGCGCCACGCCGCCCCGCTGACCACCCGAGCCGCCGCTGTTCCACCTTCATCCGCTCCACCAACGGCCGCTTCTGCTCCCTCCGTGACCGCGCCACACCAACGTCCGCTGCTCAGAGCATCGCGCTGCCGAACCCATCCAGAAAACGATGGCTGAATCCGATCGACGGCCCTCTTTACCTCAGAGATATTAGGCTGGGCCGCCGGACGGGACGCGGAGTGATGGCCAGCCAACAGTAAAGACCGAGCCTCCTGACGCGGGCTGTGTAAATGCCGCAGCAGCACCGCAGTTGAGGGGGCCCAGTTAAGGCTGCGGCCCTTTTTAATAGGGACTATTGGTCGTGGCTTCTCGCGCCTCCCTGCCCGCCATGCGCCAGCGTACCGTGCTGCCAATGCCCGTGCATTCTGGCTTTGGTTATTGCACTACTTACTAGGCTTCCATCTCTCCTCTGCGTCCGTTGCATGCTGTGCGATAGATGGATCAGTACACTAGCCCAACTGCTTATAGCGAGCTGTACTTATAGCGAGCTGCAATGCTGCGGAGCCCAGAATTAAGAGATGCTTCCGCTTTGGAGTGGAGCCATGTTGTTTCAGCTCTGCCATCGTACCTTGGTTAAATTCCCCTAAGATCAGTTTGGCCAGTTCAAGTGAAGATTGTGCGTGCATCTCATCTTTATCTTTCGGAGCAAAGTGGCGCAAGAGCACATAAGAACTTTTTTACAACGAGGCTGAAGAAGGCCGAATACGGACTCGAGTTTGGATTGACAGAACAATCAACGGGCCGGGGCATGAATTACAATGTCCAACATACAAGAAGAGAAACAAAACTGTGCAGACGAACTTGGCTATGTTTATAAGATGAGAATCTCATAGAGCTGTGCTAGGCCGTCAGTAAGGCATTGTAGCTGTAGTTGTTTGCAGGTAGTATGACGTTCAAATTGAAATTGGTGGGTTATTTCCTCTCAATAATGGATTGCTGCCCCTTTCTTTAGTTCCAGGTTGCTTGTGATGAACAGAACAGCCCGAAAAGCATGTACGTCCACCGAGATTGTGACGAGGGAAGAGAAGGAAGGGAGAAGCATTGGATTCGATGCGTGTTTGGTTTATGCCCTAGATTGCCCCGCCAAAATATCAGCTAGCTAATTTTTTGGCTGAGGTGCTGGTTGCACATGACATGAGTAAGGCAACACTGGTACCTATTTTTGGATCCTGGCCAAAATATTGAAGTGGGGTACATTTTGGACACGATCCAAACATGCCTAGATCTACACCATCAACTCACTGACTGACCCAACCTAACACATGAGACCTGCGTACACAAACTCAAGGTGGAATAAACAGCTCGAGAGCATTACAAGTGATCACTCACTAGCCCAACTGCCCAAGAGATCAAAACTACATAACACACAACAAGAAAGAACCAGCACTCACTCAATCTAGTGAACACTACCACTACCACTCTAGTAGAATAGAACGCGCAGCTCGCATCCCATTGGCACACAGGTTCAGGCGACGCATGAGTTGAGGCCCAGGCATCCCATCAGCAGGCTCCTCTTCCGCCTCGGCCGGCGGGAGGTGAACTCCGGCGGAGGCACCTGGTACAGGTCCTCGTCGACCGGGCGCACCACCCTGGAGCCGGCCTTGGCCGTGGCGCGCGGCACGCTGCCGGCAGCGTCCAGCGCCCTGGCACCGCGCCTCTCCCCCTTCTCCCGACGGGCCACGTCGCCCTGGTCCGGCCTCCGCGTCTTCTTGGGCGTGGGCTTGCGCGGAGGCGGCGAGTACCTGAACCACACGTCGCTGCAGGCCTCCGGCTCCGGCGCGTAGCACTCGGCCGCCACGGCCACCGCCGCCGCGGCCGGCGGCTCGTCGTAGTAGTAGCAGTAGTTCCACTCCCCGAACGCCGGCACCTGCCGCCGCCTCGCCTTCTGCAGAAGCAAAGCAAAGGCAAAACCAGGTGAGCTACAAAGTACAGACCACGGGGAAGTGCCGATCCTTGCATGGGCGCATGAACGCTTACCTCCATCCGGTCCACGCCGGCAGCACACGACACAGGGGCAGACATAATGGGGTGGGGAAGAAGGAGAAGCGAGCTGGGGTCAGTGGGGCGAGCGGTACTAGCCACCAGCTAGCGGCTAAACAGAATGGGGTGGAGCCTCCAATGGCCTGGACGCGCGTGTTTTATAGCGGGAACGGGAGGGGGCAGCTCGCGCGGCAGTAGCGGCCGGAAAGCATTGAAGAGGCCGAGCTCTGGGGCCGGCAATGTCGAGAGGGAGAGAGAGAGAGAGGGAGAGAGGGGGCGTGGCGGGGCAGCATGGAAGGCCTCTTTTCAGAGCGGCAGTGGCTCACTGTAGAAGGCTAGGGGCTGGCCGCGGTAGGCTTGGAGGACGCTGCAGTTGCAGGGACGCAGAGAGAGAGAGAGGGGGTGGCCGGCCGGCCGGCCGGCGTGGTCCTGGTTTGACCGGGGAGGGGTATTACTCCTAGGTATGGGGCTGCTGCACGTCGTACCGGGGTTCCAGCTGACATGCAGCCATCTTGTCGCGCGCCCGTGTTATTTCCGCATCATTGCGGGCTGATTAGCGAGTAAAATAATGCGCGTTTCAACGCTACGCTCTACTGCTACTAGGCAGCAGTACCCCTACCCCTGCATCTACACAAAACGATGGGGTATGAGCAAAAGTCCACGGGCTAGAAGAATTTCAACTACACAAAACGATGGAGTATACCACAAGACAGCATGGGGTTGGATGATAAAGTTGGCAAGTGAATTGCAAAATCTTTTGTTTTTCTTTTGAACAGTGCCAAATCTTTTCTTAACCGCTGTAAAGACTGAGTTTCCACATGACATCTTTGATCAACTTTGTTCCCCGACTACGAGACATCTGTAATTACTTCGTTAATTTTAAGATGTGATGTTAGCTCAGTCTTTCTAAGGGGCTCATAGGATACAATTTTTTTTCCGCAAAAAAAAGATACGGTCTTTTTTAGTGTTCATAGGGGTACGAGTGTACATTCATACATGGGAGTACATATGCATTTATATGAGCGTCTGCGTCGATACTGTATTTAAGAAAAATAAAATAAAATTATGGGAACGAGCTTGGGACAGGTCACTAAAGAAAATTGCAAAACCAAAAATTGACTTTCACCTATTTGGGTAACCCGATTTTTTTAGAGGAGCACTCTTTACAACCACAAACCACCAGAACTTGTGTTTGGTCTGAAACACAAGACAAAAGAAAATGAACCAAAAAAAAAGAAACTTTCTAATAAATATTGAATTTAAAATTGCTGCTAGTCACTTTTTTCTTTGGCAAGAGAGCACACATACTCCCCGCAAAAAAAAAAAAAGAGAGCACACATACGTTCTAGCCGGCGGCGACCAGCCTGAGTGGTGCATGCTTGAGACCTACGTCTTTCTGGCCTCACAACACAATCTAGCGAGATACAGTATTATATTTTGTTGAGTAAATCATGGAAAAGCACAGGAGCGTTCGAGTTCATAGATATATCTATGTGTAAATTCCGATCGATCGATCTAATGGAACTTAATTACGGTATGTGGTCTGTGTATATATACGAATTTAGAGTTCAACTAATCTTCACATGAGGATGGAGATCAAAGGCATAGGCAGCAGCGGCGGAGCTACATCCACTTCTTGGGGCGGGTCAAAACGGGCCAGCTTAAAAAATACATCTGAAGTTTTGCTCTTAGGGCCCAAATTCGACATCAGTCTTCACTAAATTTTTGTTGGGTTGGGCGGGCCATGGTCTGCTTTGGCCCAGCCGTAGCTCCGCCACTAGTATGTAGACCAAGAAAATAAAATAAAAATAAAAGAATAAAGTTTTCTAAGAAAGAAATGAATTATTGGCATCGGTATAGGTGAATACATAGGAGCTCTCAGGTGCCTGGGAACCCTATTATAATACTAAAATAAAAAAGTGCCATTTTAAAAAAGTGAAATTTTGGATATCAAGCCTGGGTGCCCATTCTGCTCCCGTGTTTAGTTTCGTTAAGAAATGGCATATGTGGTATCCATGGCAAATAAATTACAGTCTAACCTATGATTTGTTCCAACCGTTTTTTCTTACATAGATTTTTTTGCACATTTTTACTGAGAATACCACAGATGTCAATTTTTCACAAAACTTCACACGGGTAGACTAGGCACCCAGGTTTAACACCCAAAAATTCAGTTTTTTATTTCCCTATTTTTTATTTTACTATCCAATAGGGTTCCCGGGCATCCAAGAGCTCCAAATCCTCTTCCCATCGATATTACCCTTTAATAAGGAACAAAATAATAATAATAATAATAATAATAATAATAATAATAATAATAATAATAATAATAATAATAATATGATAAAATTTGCACATGATTTACACAGAAAATTGTGTTTTATCATGTACAAGAACAAACATTTAATAGTAGAATTTTCGCAAAAAGAAGTTTTGTAGGAAGGAATTAATTAGTGGCATTGGTGTTACCCTTAAAGAAGAATGAAAATGGAATAAAAAGTAAAAAACAAAATAATAAATAATAAATTTTCTAAGGAAGAATGAATTAATAGCATGGGTATTGCCCATAGGAAGAATTAATATGGAAAAATGAAAAAAATTGCGCATAAATTACGATTTTTACAATACGCGATAATAAACATATAATACTGGAATTTTGCAAAAAAAAGTTTCCTAAGAAGGAATGAATTAGTGGCATTAGTATTATCAAATAATAAAAAATATCTAAGAATGAATGAATTACTTACATTGGTATTACCCCTTTAAGAAGAAAGAAATTACAAATACTTGCACACAACTTTGCATTGAAATTGCACTATTTTAATATGCATAAAATAAGCATATAATTGTAATTTTCACACTCTACAGTAATTTACACACATAGTGTATAGTACTTTCGTGTATACATTTCCTCCTTTTTGTGGGGCTGTGTGTATACGTTTCCACCCATCCAACATGCCAAAAGTACCCATAGAAAAAACCCTAAAGAAATGGAAAAATAAAAGCAAAAGAAAGGTATACAAGAAAAATAGGTAATGTGTGGGCTCCAAGCCCAATAGAAAAATAGAATTACCCCAAAGGGGCAAGTCAACAATTCATCCTAAGAGAAAATCGACTTACCCTAAGGAGAGGCATGCCAAAAATCAGTCTAAGAAGGTCATGGTTTCCTTTGTGCTTCCTAGGGTGTTGGACGTGTTCATCACCGCGGTTGGCAGGTGCCCAACTGGCGGTGTGGTGGTCGCGTTGCAGCTTGTGTGGCAACGATGACGGTGGCAAGGTGTACATGGTTGTCGCTTGCCTTTCTCCTCAACAGTTGGGCTTGTTCCTGAGCGTGAAGTCGGAGCTGCGGTGTTGCGGGGCGGCAACGATGCCAGTCGACAGATAGTTTGGGCACTGTTTGCGCTAGGCATGTTCCTTTTCTCGTGTGAGGCTCGTCATCAAAGTCGGAGCTACCCGGTCTTCGACGCCGGTGGACGATTGTTTGTCTTCTACCAATAGGGTCTCCCATGTCTCATTCGTTCGGAGGGTTCTTGATGGGTCGTTAGTGGTGAAGTCGGAGTCGCTTGCTCGAGGAGAGGTGACGACGATGACATTGCACGCAACTTCGACGATGTCCTCTCCTCGACGCTGTGTGTGTGTGGATCTTGTAGGTGTCGGGTCGGCCGGCATGCCCTTCTTTCTGGGCGTGTTGTGACGGTTTTCACCCGGTTTTCCGCAAATTAATCAAGCAACTCTATTCTTCTTTTTTAAGAAATCATGATCCTCTAGTGTCCAGTTAAATAAACAGTCTAAAAAGTCATGAAACGACACAAGGAAAAATACATTAATTTTGACAAAAGAATTAACAGTCAGAAAGTTGACCTTTTCAAATTTAAAAATTAGGAAACTTACACATAGCCAAAGTGGAAGTTAATGAACATTGTTGGTGATAAAGATGGTGTATGGACCAGAGCACGCGGAGGGTGGAGGTAAGCTGTGTACAAATATCACAAACCTGCTAGAGTAGAGAGAAGCATTTCCATAGGTTCAAAAGTACATTATATTTTCGTTCGAACTAGAGATTTAGGCAACAACATACTAGTGAACAGGTGCGTTCAGTTCATCTCTAAACAATACCATTTTTTTCTAGAATATGCACATGCATGTGTATGTTAGATTGGATCGATGTAAGCGTTCCTACTCCTCCGTAGAGGAGCCGCGGGTATATATTGATTATGGACAGAAACAACCTCTGCCTTGGCATACAAGAAGCCCACCGATCGCAAGGATCCAACGGGATAAAGATAGGAGGTTAAACGGGAGAGGAAAGATAGAGATGGTAGTTGAGATTACATGACGTGAATATCTCTTAAGTCTAACACCCTCCCTTAATCTGAACTACCTATCCTAAATTAAGATTGTTCTTAAATGCTTCAAATGGCTTGTACGGTAGAGCTTTAGTGAATCCGTCGGCCACTTGATCTCTGGAAGGAATGAAGCGGATCTCCAGCTTCTTTTCTGCAACCCTTTCTCGTACAAAGTGAAACTCTATCTCAATATGCTTGGTTCTGCCATGAAAGACATGATTAGCACTTAAATAAGTGGCACCCAAATTATCACACCATAGGCATGAAATACGGTGTTGCTGCACACCCAATTCTTCAAGCAAAGATTCAAGCCAAATAATTTCAGCAGTAGCATTCGCCAATGATTTGTACTCGGCCTCAGTACTTGACCTTGAGACTGTTGCTTGTTTCCTGGCACTCCAAGAAATAAGATTAGAACCAAAGAAAACAGCAAAACCACCTGTTGATTTTCTATCATCGCTGCAACCTGCCCAGTCTGCATTAGAGAAATCACTAACAAGTGTAGAGTTGGACCGTCTAAAATGAAGTCTCAAACCTACAATGTGCTTGACATACCGAATGATCCTCTTAACAGCTGTCGAATGAGCAGAAGTGGGAGCATGTAGGTATTGACATACTTTGTTAACAGCAAAAGAAATATCTGGTCGTGTCAAGGTTAAGTATTGCAAGGCTCCAACAACACTTATGTATTTGGTG